GCAGCCCCACAAGACATTTTGTCACCTAGGCTAAAAAGCACAACTGTTAGAACTAGCCACTTAGGACAATGGGGGGGGTGCAATTAATACATCCCGTCGACACTGTCTCTTGTCAGAGGAAAAGAATACAGAGCAAATGCATCCCGCACTGTTTTTGTATTGATCACAAACTTGGGTACACTGCATCAGTGAGGTAGTGGAAGAGACGGTAGGTACCTCCTATAAAGAAGTGTGGACGTCACAGTCAGATCCCACCTCCGTGTTTTCCATGACAGAAACGTGCCTTCTTGAAAGCACTTTTAACCCTATGCTTGCCCTAAGGCTCATCCACCATCACTGAAGTACACACTTTGATTATCTTCAGAGTAGTGGCAAAGGGTGTGTGTTAAAATATCTAGCATCCCAGGACCAGCAGTTAGCGTAATGGCTATGTCGCTGGACTCCCACGTAGTCGACTGCGGTTCACGTCCCCGCGGTTCACGTCCCGGACCCGGTGGCTTAAAACTCACGCCGGGTGTGTGTGCGTGCGTGCCCAAGATCCCAGGAGGAGAATGGAGAAGGGATTGCGGCACAACCATCCTCCCTCGGGGGTGATTTCTCGCCTTCTGTCTCTATGTCCCTCCCTGTCTGTCTGGCGAGTGCACGTGCCCTATAGCGAAAACCTCTCAAAAAAAAAAATAAAGTCTAGCATCCCTTGCTGAGGGATCCTTTGGCAAGAGCAAAACTGGCCTTCATGGGATCAACAGATGGCATAATGGTTATGTCACTGGACTCCCACATAGCTGACCGCAGATCAAGTCCTGAATCCAGAGGCTTAAGACTCACGACGAGCGAATGCGCATGCATGCTCAAGATCCCAAGAGGAGGGACCAGCAGTTAGCGTAATGGCTATGTTGCTGAACTCCCATGTAGTCAACCATGGTTCAAGTCCCAGACCTGGTGGCTTCAACTCACGCCAGGCACGTGTGCGTGCATGCCCAAGATCATCCCGAGAGGAGAATGGAGGAGAATTGCAGCGTAGCCATCCCACCTGGGGGTGGTGGGGGTGGTGGGGGTGATTTCTTGCTTTCTGTTTCTCTGTCTCTCTCTGTCTTTCTGGAAAGCACACACGCCCTATAGCAAAAACCTCTCAAAAAAAAAAAAAAATCCCAAGAGGAGAATGGAAGAGAAGGGATTGGGGCATGGCCATCCTCCCTGGGGAGGTGATTTCTCACTTTCTTGTCTCTCTCTGGCGAGCACACTTGTCCTACAGCAAACATCTCTTAAAACAAAACAAAACAAAACAAAACACAAAACTGCCCTTCCTAAGCATTAAGCTGAGATCTTCAATGTGACCAAAACAGACTTAGCTGGTCATGGACAATACCAGGTATCACTAGCTGCAAGGCAAAGGAAATGACTCAGTCTGCACCCAGCGTGCACGGGAAACAGAGGAGGAAGAAACATCTAAGTCAACAGCACGCATGCACAGTTTCCCAAAACAGGAGGCCCGGTTTCTTTTGTGGTGCTCTAGGGCTATTTTAGTTGTCATCGTTTTGCTTTGCTGTTTAAAATTTATGTGCAGTTACCTAGTAGATGGGAACATTTACAATAGAAGAGATCTCTGTCAAACCATACTGGTGCACACAGTTTATGGCCCACAGTTGTGTGGTGGCAAAAAATTCCTTTGCATCCTGTAGGACTACATGAAATTTACAACTGTGCTGAAAGTATGTGAAGAACTAGTATGGCTGAATTAGGACCTCCTGAGCTCTAAGAAGTGATAAACCTAAATAGAAATTGCTAATGCCCAGATTTTCATTATTATTATTATTATTATTGTCATTTTAGGTTTTTTGCCATAGGGCACATGTACTCACTGAAGAGAGACAGAAAGAGACAGTGAGAGGGAAAGTGAGAAATCACTCCCTAGGGGGGATGGCCACATTGGAATCTCTTTTCCTCCATTCTCCTCCTGGGAATTTGGGCATGCATATACATGTGCCTGGTGTGAATTGTAAGCTGCTAGGTCTGGGACTCAAACCACAGTTGGCTGTATATGAGTCCAGGGCCTTAACCACCATGCCACCTGCTGACTACTGTCCAGATTATTTTAAGGGCAAGTCTAGATCAATTTAAGAGACTAAACTTTCCTTTTTGTGGTGCTGTTTTCCAAAGCATGGCTTTAACTGCCTCCTAAATAGCTCAGCTGATATTAGGTGGTGAGTCTGACCTCCTCGCAGCTCTGTGTGTTACTAAAATTGATAGCACTGCAAAATCACAAAACATTTTGTGTCATGGGCTTTTAATAAACTTCTTTACAATGATGAAATCCATGGGTTTTGTAGTAACTTAAAGGCTCCATTTTAAGAAAAAAAATTAAATTAATTTTTAAGCCAAAGCCAGGAACTCCTGGATTGTTCAATAATACAAAGCCAAAGAACTTAGGTCAAAAAACTTTATGTAGAAAAACAAGAAGGTTCACTCTCGTGGGTGTGTGAAATGCCTTCCTACTAAGGCTTACCCAGCATGATTTTATTTTATACCTTATTTTGTCGAACCCAATCCAGGCTCTAACCCAGGCTTAATGTTTTGAAAACTGGAAATCTGAAGATATATTACAAGTAAATTAGAAGGGAACTAATGAAGTAGCCCATAAACACCTAGAGTGGAGGAGCATAGAAGCAAACATTTAGCAATACAGGCCACTTAGAAATTAGACAGTCTTAGGACCAGCAGGTAGCATGATGGTTAGAGTGCTGGACACTCCCACATGGCTGACCATGGTTTGAGTCCCGGACCTGGTGGCTTGCTTTCTCACTTTCCCTCTCTTTCTCTCTCTCTCTCTCTGTGTGTGTGTGTGTGTGTGTGTGTGTGTGCATGTGTGTGTGTGTGTGTCTCTCTGGTCAAATTATAATAAATAAATAAATTAAATTAAATAAATAATTATTTAAAAAAGAAATTAGGCGATCTTTTCTTTTTCCTTTTTAATTTTCCAGAAGGCACATAGATGCAAGAGAGAGCGAGAGAGCAAGAGAGAGAGAGAGAAAGGCAGAGAGAGAGAGGGAGAAAGAGAGATACATACACACATACACACACGGGGAGTAGGCATGCTGCAATCCCGTCTCTATTTTTCCTCCCCTTCAGAGCCTAGGTACTCACATTCACGTGCCTAGCATGTTTCTCAAGCCACTGGGTCTAGCACTCTAACCACGCAGCCAGCTATGCAGGATTCAGTAGCCTTAACCACCACACTAGCTTACGGTATTGTCTTACTGGTGTGGGACAATCAGAGAGAGGAAGTGATCTCCCTTTGAAAGTGAGTCTTACCTCATCACAGGCTTTACCCTATGGCTTAGCTTGAAAAAAATCTTTCCTTTACAGCAAAGTGCATTTGCGTGTTCAACTATAAACACACTCACAAAACACGTATTCTGTGAAACAAGTACTGCTAAGTATCAGGAGCTGACATGGGTGCTCGGGAACATCGATCAGCAGTACAGACGAAGGGACGAAGGGCTTGTTCATTCTGGTTCTGAGGAAACTCATAACCCCAGTCAGCTGTGAACTGGACAGGTCTCACCAGAGATCTGTCTTACCATGAAAAGGCCATTGGGAAAGAAAACGAAAACTCTATTACCACAAAAGCCTTTTGGAATTTCCAATATCCTAAAACATGAGCAAAAGGAGGCCTTCCAAATAGACTTCTTTGTCCATAGCAAATGAGCATGTTTCAAGCGTGAGTAGAAACAAAGAGACATGCTCTTGTCCACATGGCGATCCACCCTGTTTCAGAACTGGCACAGAGATGCTTCATTATTGTACAGAAACACGTTGGTTGGCGTGACAGGAAGAATCAAATGACCTAAGTACTAAGAAACACTATTCTCTAACAAGTGGTCTGTGCAAGCCGAAAAAATTATCTTCTCCAACTTAATACAGCACATTATTATACACCCTGTCTCCTAAATGTTCCAGCTGTGCTGAACAACAGCTGTCATCCTGCGTGAAAACACCACCTTAAGTTATTGTGATGTGTCGCAAAGGGTCTAATTATTTTTTGAAACTGTCACTTTTTTTTTGAGCACACGAATAATTCTAAGCCTTCTTTTAACTTGTGAAATGATTTAGCCTTCCTAAAGATTTTTTGAAAATAATTACTTATTTAATTTTATTTATCATTATTATTGTTTAACCAGATTGAGAGAGAGAAAGAGGGAACGAGAGAAAGCAAGCCACTAGGATGGGGACTGTAACCGTGCTCAGCCATGTAGAAGTCCAGTGCCTTAACCACCATGCCTCCTGCTGGCCTCTAAAGGAAAATTATTAAAAATGTTCTTTTCTTTTTTTTGTTTGTTTTTATTTGCCAGAGGCATGTGTGCTTGCTCGAGAGAGACATGTGGGGGAGGAGTGAGAAAACACCCCCATAGGGCATGGTGGCATGGTAATCCCTTCTCCTCCATTTCTCCCCCCCCCCTTTGAGATTTTGGGTACATATGCATGTGTGTGCACACACATATCCCTAGTATATTTCTAATGCAGCCAGGTCTAGGACTTGAACTGCGCAGTTGGCCATATGGGGTCCTGACACCTTAACTATAAGATTATGGGCTAGTCCATTAAAATCTTTTGACACTTAAAACACATTTGCCAGAGGGTATGTGTTCTCACCAGAGAGACAGAGAGAAAGGGAGAAAGCACCCCCTGTGGGGCATGGTCACACTGCTTTCCCTTCTCCTCCCTTTCTCCATGCTGTTGAGATTTGGGGAACAAAAACACATGCACCAGGCACATTTTTAAGCCATCAGGGCCATGATCCAAACCATGGCCATGTGGGATCCAGCTCCTTTAACCACTGGGCCACAGGGCTGGCCCAATTATTAAAAATCTTACAGTCATCTCCCACCTTATCTTCTAGTCATTTACAGTCATCTTATCCACCAAAGATAAAACATTTGTCACCATAAATAGTACTTTTCAGTTGCAAATTTGATTCCACAGTCAAGAGGAAAAAAAGTAAATGTATTTAAAATATTTATTCTTTCAGTGAGATGTTCTCTTGTCCTCCTTCATGCCTTATTACAGTTATTTTAAAATAAGCTTTTCATGTTCTGGAATACCATACTTCCCTTTGTGCTCCTCAAATAATTTCATGAGCTCTTCCATATAGGTCTGATGCAATTCTTCAATCTGCTCTGGGGTTGGGTGCGGAGTCCGAAGAACAGGGATTGGGCGGCCGACTGCAAAAATAGAGAATACATCACACGAGAAACCAAAACCACTCCACCGCAGGCGCCCACCTCTGATGGGCAGCGGTGGGGAGGCCTGCCAATCAGAACCCCTCCAGGCTGCTCTTGCCAAGCCTTTTTTCATCTTACTGGCTGCCTGCAGCGGTCACGCCATTCCATTTGATAACAAACAGGGAACTTTCCTTCTCAGCAGACAACTGGATTGTCAGTACCCTGGTGGTTTGGACTTGGAGTCAAACGAGCTACTGTGTGCACTGCAGCTGTGCAGTGAGTGGACGTGGCTGTGTGTCCACGTCCCCAGCATTCTCCCTCTGGTACAGCTGACAGCCAGACCACAGTGCTCTCATTATTCCTGACTGTGAAATCCCCGAGTCACGTGGCATCCCTCTATCCTGACTCTTCCTAATGCCTTTCTAGCCAATTCAGAATACATACATCTTTGCAGCTAACTGTCTATATTAGAGAAACACGTATAATCACAAGAATTTCATTGTTTGTAATAGTAGAGACTGAGAAACAACAACAACAAAAAGACCCAAAAAATTACTAAACTATGGAACAGTCACTCAGTGGAATCCTGGGCAGCACTTTTAAAAGAATAAAATGATAAAGATGTGCAGATATATGCAAATACACACAGTTGTCTAACACATATGAATTAGGAAAAAATAAGTTGTAAAATAATACAGAATGATTCCATTTATTGCAGAAAGCATTGCTACATCTAGGTGCCTTGTGTTTTTTAGTGCATAAGAAGTCTGGAAAGAGACAAATGACAATAATCACCTCTGTGAAAGGAGATAGGATGGGGGACCTCTCACTACATCTATCTGTACTATGTGAATTTTCTACAAATAAGAATGCATTCGTATCTTACCTGTATAAGTACAAATACAGTAGTTATTAAAAAGAAATGCGGCAACGTACACACATATTTTTGGAGGTGTTTATATACTAAATAACCCATAATTCACTCATCTCAGATTTTTACACAGTACACACACTAGGTTTTGGTGCTTGCATTCAGTGCGCCCCCTGCTGGTCATACTCTGCTACTGATGCCAAGGGCTGAAAATGTACAGATGCTCATTGATTTGCTGGCTCTGACCTTCGATTAGCTTGGGTATGAGGTCAAATGAGGTTGTAGGTAATGAAGGAAACTTACGGAGGAGGCGGTTTCCTTTGACCTCCCCTGAAACACCCTGTGCTAGGTATATAGGCTTGTCCGTGCCAGTAGCAGAAGCGGTAAATTGAGAACAAAACAAAGCAAATGTTAAGTCACAGAGAAGGAAGTGGAAAACGACATCAGTATGGGAGTAAGGGAGCACAGAGAGGAGCCTGGTAACACGTACATGTACATGTATGCACACACACACACACACACACACACACCCTTACTGCATTATTTGATGTTCTCAGGCTGCTGAGGATTTAATCACATAGAGCCTCAGAAGTTCTTGCATGAGACAGCCTTGTGGCTCAGTAGTTGCGGGATTTGGATGCCATATGGCCGGCCAAGGCTTGAGTCCCACCCTAGCACTTTGAAAAACATACCCGTGTGTGTGTGTGTGTGTGTGTGTGTGTGTGTGTGTGTGCCCCAAAGCCCGAAAGGATGATGAAATGGAGAAGGGGTTGGGGCATGACCTTGTCCTACTGGGAGGGGGGTGTTTGTTCTCTCTTTCTCTCTCTCTCTCTGACTCTTGTGGGCAAGCAATTAAGAAATGAAAGGACAAGCTGGTTCCTACATGGCAACTATAGTTTGAATCCCTCATCTACTCAACCTGAAACACTCCAGGCATGTGCACTAGTCCCGAGAGCTGACAGCCTGGAGGACCAGAGAGAGGAATCATGGCATGACCAGATCCTGTGGAGGGTGATCTCTGTCTCGCTCTCTCTCTCTCATATATCTTTTACATGTATATATACACACACGCATGTGCTCTATTATTAATAAAGGTGGGGAAATAATCTTTTTCAAAAGAAGATCCCACACAGATTTCTTTGTAGCTCGGACGTCAGATTTATTCATAGTGGACATTAGTCCTTTCATTATTATTATTATTACGACTACCATTATTATTACTTTTAACTGCAACAGGCACATGTACTTATCAGAGATGGAGAAATAATTGGGATATTCTAAAAAGGGTCCCTGGAATCCTAGAAAACCAGAATTCTTTTTCTCCACATAGTTTTTTTGTTTTTGTTTTTGTTTTTACTACTAAGGAGAAGAAAATGTTTTCAATATAAGAGTAAGCTGTAAAGTTGCAAACTGCTGAAAATTTCCTTTTTACAGAACAAAGAAAAGCACAGTTGCATCAGGCTGCTCTTGAAAATGAAACTCCTAGCTCTGGAAAATATTGGCCGACGCCTACTTGTGGCAGAGTCAGAAATCACAATTCTTGTTTATGCTCTGCTGCTTTTTACAGCTGGTGTGAAGGACGGCTCCATTTTCCAATTCCCCCAGCACTTTAAGATGAGTTGGTATTGGGAACCAGCAGTTAGCGTAATGGCTATGTCACTGGACTCCCACGTAGTCGACTGCGGTTCGTGTCCCGGACCCGGTGGCTTAAAACTCACGCCGGGCACGTGTGCGTGCGTGCCCAAGATCCTGAGAGGAGAATGGAGGAGAAGGGATTGCGGCGTGACCATCCCCCCTGGGAGGTGATTTCTCACTTTCTGTCTCTATGTCTCTCTCTGTCTCTCTGGCGAGCGCATGCGCCCTATAGTGAAAACCCCTTCAAAAAAAAAAAAAAAAGATGAGTTGGTATTTACGGCCACACATAGTCATCTTGGGCTGGTTTCTACTATGCTGTGCTGTATTCACCCAGGATGAAGAGGGCACTCATACATAGTCTCCTCAGTTGCACGTGGGCCTTCTTTGGAAATGGGCAATATTTCATTTTCAGGGGGCAAATAGTAGGTCTAACACAATTGGGGAAAAAAAAATCCTCTTTCTATTTTCTGTTAACTATAAAGATCTCATAGAATATATCCCTCTACTAGACTCATACAAGGCCCTATTTTCCTCAAGATGCTACATGGCTGTGCAAAAAAAAAAAAAAAAAAAAACGTGAACACCATGCAGTTTTTCATAATATGCATTTCCCATGAATTTTATGAAACCCCTTCATAGCTATATATGCTTTATTATTTTTTTTATAGTTTGTTCTCAGATGTTCATGCTTACCAGAGAAAGACAGAGAAAGAGAGAGAGATAGTGAGAAATCACCCGCTGGTGAGGGTGGCCACACCAGTCCCTTCTCCTCCATTCTCCTCTGGGGATTTCGGGGATGTACACACACACATGCCTGGCATGTTTTCCAAGTCACCACCTCCAGGACTTGAACCATGTAGTTGGCCATGTGAAAGTCAATTGCCTTAACCACCATGCCACCTGCCGGCCCTTATTTTTATTTTTGTAGACTCAGTTGAAAGTAAGTTGTAGACACTGGTGATTTAATGATTTGCCTCATCCTTGAATCGTTCAGATGTATTATCTAAGAGCAAGAACACGGTCCTATGTTACATCATTATCACACCAAAGAAATGAAAACTCCATGCAGTAATAGTTTGTGCTTAATCTATATTCAAACTATATCCATTGCCCCAATAATATCATTTATAGTTGTTTCCTCCCAACCCACAACAGCTGCTGTGTGTCTCTGGGCACCTACTCCCTTTGTCTTGCATGACTTTGATATTTTTAAAGAGTAAGGGCCTAAAAAAAAATTTAAAAAAAGAGTCAAGGCCAGTTGTTTATGCAATGCCCCGCAGTCTAGATTTGTCTGATTACTTGGTCATGATTTAGTTCAGATTAACACTTTGGCAGGAATATTTAACAGGGAAGTTGAAACTTATTTGCAGGCTCTCAAGAAGCTGGTCAGAAAATATAAAAAGAGCAGATATTCAAAACGGGGCCAGTTTCATGGCTGGCGATTGAAAGAGCTAGGTCCCACATGGCCAACTGTGTGGCTTGAATCCCTGCCATGGTGGATAAACATGCTTGGCACGTGTGTGTGTATGACCCAATCCACTAGGATAAAGAAATGGAAAAGGGACCGTGGTATGATCATGCCCCACTGGGGGTGAGCTTTCTCCCTCTCCTTCTCTCTGTCTCTGGTGAGTACACACATTTTTTAGCAATTAAAAAAAAAAAAAAAAGAAGAAGAAACTGGTTATGCTATGGAGCAACCTGGAAAACTTGTGAGCAACCCTGAAGGAATTCAGGGGTGATAGCTGCCTCAGTTTTCTGTTCCCCTGTGAGCTAACTCTTCCTCCCCTGAACTGTTGAGCAGCCGAAGGCCTTGGGCAGGTTGAATTCCCTGCTTCTCTGCCAGTTCCATATTAGGGCAGACTCCGAGCACCTTCTTTTATAGGACACTCCAAGTGTGCTGAAACTGCCCCTCCCCAATTCACTCATAAAAAAGCTATGTCCAACACACAGTCAGCTCCAGAGATCAGAGATTCAGAGTGTTAACACCTGAATAACACCCGCCAGCATAATAAACAGTTCTCCTAATCTTTCTGAGTGCTGCTTTCTGTTCCTTGGTGTCTGGTTTTCTGCAACATTTTGGTGCATTGGCTGGGAAGCAGAATCAGGCTAGCACTTTGAGCCATCGATCCCAGGACGCTGCCCCTCTGGGATAGGTACTACGGTATGGAGAGATAGACACACCCCTGTCTCGTTTGACAGGATCCCTCAGCTGGGATGCCTGCTCTGAGGCTGAGCGTTCCTGGCTCATCAGACTCTGCCTGGAGAAAAAGATCAACTCCTGGACCCTGATGCAGCAACCCTGGTCAACTCTGGTAATCTGGTAAAACCCCAGGGATCTGTAGAACCCTAGTCAGACCTACTCATATTGAGTAGAAGACTTGATTACTCTCCTTCGGTCGCAGGACCGACAGTCAGGGTTCATGTGGTAATAAGGTGGTGTGGGGAGGGAATGTATAACCTCTAAATGAATGCGTTTGTGGCTCCATGGATTCTT